CCCTCCCCTCCTTCCTGTCTCCCCTATCCCAGAGACTCCAAGGAGCATAGGCTGCCTGTCTGTGGCCTAGCCCCAGACACCCTACTAATGGCATCTCAGAGCTGCCCCCTACTTAGTGGGGGTGGCACTTCCTGCTTCTCCCCTCATTTTGGGGCTAGTCAGTCAGCAGAGCTTTCCTCAGGGACCCATGGTGGGGGGTTCCTCCAGCCTGCCGTGGCTGACCAGTCGTCACTCGTCCTGTCTCTTGTCTGGTCTGCCATTAGGCAAGTTCTGACTTGGGCGTGGGGCTACTCACTGTGTGGGGGCCCACGTTGCCCTGCCTGGGGCTGTTGGGTCACTGAAAGGGGGAGGTTCTCTGCATCCTTGGGGGCAGTGGGGAACGTCAGAGGAGTAATGACCGGTACAGTTACTGGAAGTCCACAGGGCCAGGATTGAAGGCAGCGCAGCAGCACGGGAGTTCTGGGGACATGCACTCTGTGCCCGCTCCTGACTGCTGAGTAGGGCAGGAGAGGGGGAGTCTGCACAGGATGAATGGGGATCTGGAGCAGAGCTGGGTGAGTTGTCCTGTCTGGGAGGGGACTGGGCCCTTCTCAGAGCCAGGACTGTCGAGTTCCATGCCAAGCCAAGGAGCTGGTCTGGCTGAAGGGCAGACTCTGGGGCCAAGGTCCCTGTTGGCCAAGTAGGCGTCCAGGCAGGCCTGTGTTTCAAAGAGCAGGTCTTCAGCTCCCCAGGTAGGAAAGGGGCTCTCCTTTGCTCCCCTTAGTTCGTGAGTTGCAGCGAGAGGTTTTGTCACCTGCTTCCCCCTCCTCATGGCATGTGAATTGGGTGCTGTTCATGAATCTTGGACTTAGCTATTATAGATTGGTAGTAATTCCTTAATTTGATACTTTTTTGTTGAGCCTGGGCAGAACAGAAGGTGGAGGACAGAGCCACTGGTGTGGACAGCCACCTGGAATGCAGCAGAACAACTGTTGGGGGGTGTCTTCTGGGAATGATAGGTAAAGGCTGTCATCAGGGGTCCTGTGGACAGGCTCTCCAGAAGGTGTGTTTCCCCTTGGCCTTGAAGGACACGTGCTGTTGCCCAGTGGAGTGGTGTCAGAGGCAGCAGGAACAAAAGCACGGGAGTGGGAGGGAAGGTAGGTGGCCCACTCTCAGGCTTCCCAGGGGCTCGGTGTAGCTAGACCTCTGTAGTAGGAGCTAGCAGGAGCTGCCATTGACTTCAGGTTGGTGTCTGGGAGTGCCAGCCCAGGAAGTTTATATCTTGGGGCTACCAGGATCATTAGGAAGGGCCTAAGGGGTGGGGTTTGTTTTTTGGAGTGGAGACGAGGGGGAGGGAGAGAAAGCACCCCCCAAGAGGGGGTGACCATGCCATAATTCCTTCTCCTCCATTCTGCTTTCAGGATTGTGAGCACACACGCTTACACTCCCGGGTCCAACACTTAAACTGTGCAGTTGGCCATGTGGGATCCAGGCCTTAGCCACCACACCACTGGCTGGCCCAGTGGTGCTTTTAAAATAAGGGAAATGCCTGCACTGGGGCTGTGGCTGCAGAGGCTGACCCCACAGGTCAGTTTGGAGATTGGTGACTTGTTAGGAAATTGGCTTTGCAGAGCAGGGTTCAGTTTATACAGAAGATGCTTCCATCCCGACAAGATGCCAAGGGACAGCCACATGTAGATGCTTGGGAGGCTGTTGTCTCCATTTTCCAGCAAGCTTAAGCAAGGCCAGTCGGCCATGTGAGGAAGGTATCTGACAGCTTCAGGGAGACGGGGTAAAAATGGAGAGACCAGTGGAAGAGGAGGGAGCCAGAGAGGGAGGGAGGAGTGCGTGTCAGTTAGGGAAGAGGAGGAGGAAGTGAATGGTGGGATGGGGTGTTGCAGGGAGGCCAGACTAGGGCTGGAGAATACCCTGGGGTCTGGCCCTGGGGACAGCATTGGTGACCAAGGAGAGAGTGGTGTGAGCAGCAGATTCAGGTGGAAGCTGGCCTGGAGGGCTGAGGAGCAGCAGGCGGGAAGGGAGAAGGCAGTGGCCCACAGGTGGCCTGGAGTTGTACTGAGGGTGAGGACTGTGGTGTCTGGGGGAGGACACTGACACCTTTCTAGAGGGCATGTGCCCACCTGGTTGGGGTAGGGCTGGTTGGCCCCCCCAACCAGCAAGGCCCATGGGACTCAGCTTCTCTCCTGGCACCCGCAGAGCCGCCATCAGTCATGCTGTTGAATGGGGACTGCCCGGAGAGCCTGAAGGAGGAGGAAGGAGTGGCTGAGCTGCCTAGGGAAAATGGGCTGGATGAGGCCGAGCCAGGAGATGAGGCCACTGGACAGGAAGTCATTGTCATTCAGGACACTGGCTTTTCTGTGAAGATTCTGGCCCCTGGAATTGAGCCCTTCTCCCTGCAGGTAAGGGGAAGGGGAGTGTTAGGTGGGGACCAGGGCCTGAGACTGCTAGGGAGGATGAGGTTGGAAAGCTGAGCCTTGCCCAAGGCCACTCAGGGAGCGTAGCGGACATGGGACCGGATTCCCACATCCAGGTTCAGCTGCCAGGGGACAGCTACCAGCCTTGTTTGGGGGAGAGGAGCAGGAGAGGCTGGCATATGTTGGGTTCTTAGGACTCTTTAGTCTCTTGCCCTGTTTCCTCAGATCACCACTCCCTCGGCCATCATTTTATCACCTAGCTAGGGGGTGGGTGGTCTTGGGTGGTCTCTGAGGGCAGAGCCAGCCCAGAGACCTTGAGAGCTAGGAACTCAGTACCCTCTTGTGTCCTGTAGTGACAGGCTTGCCTTTGTCTGGAAGGCAAAAGCCCCTTACCCTGGAGACCTTAGCACTGGCCATGGGAGGAGGCAAGGTCACCATTTTCTCTCCCCTGTTCTCCCATCACCTGCCACTTGGCTCAGGATTATTCTCGGTGCAGGAAGGGGCCAGGCCCTGTCCTGCACCCACTCATGTCAGTACAGATGGGCATTGTAGGTAGAGACAGAGCCTGGAATGGAAAAGCCCAAAAGTGGGAAACTTGAGTGCCTTTGGCCTTTGTTCTAGAGATCCAGATACTTCGGACTGGGCTCAGGGAGTGTGTCCTTGTTCCCTTCCATGAATCCTTTCACCAGGGGGTTTGGGGCCTTCTCTTTGCCAGGTGTCCCCCCAGGAGATGGTCCAGGAGATCCACCAGGTGCTCATGGACCGGGAAGACACCTGTCACCGCACCTGCTTCTCGCTGCACCTGGACGGCAACATGCTGGACCACTTCTCAGAGCTGCGCAGTGTTGAGGGGCTGCAGGAGGGCTCGGTGCTCCGTGTGGTGGAAGGTTGGTTTGGGAGTTGGGAGGCCAGCCAGGTGGCACCTGGGCTCTACCACAGATGAGCATGTGGAGGTGGGACTACAGCAGGGTCCACCTCTTAGGCTGTCACCCGCATACCATCCAACTCCATGTCCCAGAACTAAGGCCAGAGTTGATATTGCCTTTTTTTTTTTTTTTTTTTTTTAAAAAAAAAAAGGGTTTTTTAAATAAAAAAGAGGTTTTTGCCTTAGGGCACATGTGCTTCTGAGAGAGACAGAGACAGTAAAAGGGAAAGCGAGAAATCACCCCCCAGGGGGATGGCCACTTTGCAATCCCTTCTCCATTTTTCTCCTGGGATCTTGGGCACACACACACACGCATGCCTGGTATGAGTTTCAAGTCACTGGGTCCAGGACTTAAGCAGTGGTCAGTCACATGGGAGTCCAGCAACATAACTGCTGTGTCATCTCCTGGCCCCCATAGTTAGTATTCTAAAAATCCAGGCAAGGACCAGCCCATCGCTGGTAAGGGGCTTAAGGGATCTGAGTCCTGCATGGCCACTGAGCTGTCTGAGTCCTGGACTGCACTGCTTGGAAAACATACCAGGCATTTGTGTGTGCCTAAAATCTTGAAAAGAGGGCTGAATAGAGAGGGGATTGTGGTGTGGTCAGCACCCCCCCCGGGGGGGGTAGTGCTTGCTCACTCTCTCTATCTGTGCCCTTTGGCAAAAGTTAAAAAGATAAAAGACAGCAGCACCAAGCCAGGACTCGAAATCCACCTGGTCGTATTCAGTTACGCTAAATAAATGTTAAGTCATGTTGCAGAAACTGAAAAGTTTCATAGCCCTTGAATGGAGAAGTCAGGCCAGTGCAGAGTTATCAGGTGGTGGTGTGAAACTGGTTTGGATTTAAAATAAAAGCTCTTGTGAGGGGCAGATAGGCGGTGTGGTGGTTAAGGCAGCTGACTCCCACATGGCTGACGGTAGTTCGATTCCTGAACCTGGCAGCTTGCTTTCTCTTTCTCTCTTTTTTTTTTTTTTTGAGAGGTTTTCGCTATAGAGCACGTGCGCTCGCCAGACAGACAGAGAGAGACATAGAGACAGAAAGTGAGAAATCATCCCCCCAGGGGGGATGGCCATGCCGCAATCCCTTCTCCTCTCTTCTCCTCTTGGGATCTTGGGCACGCACGCACATACGCCTGGCGTGAGTTTTAAGCCACTGGGTCCGGGACGCGAACCGCAGTCGACTATGTGGGAGTCCAGCGACATAGCCATTAGGCTAACTGCTGGTTCCCATGGCAGCTTGCTTTCTCACTTTCTTCTCTCTCTCTGGTCAACCTCAATCAACCAATCAATAAAATAATGACAATGAATAAAAGAATTTTAAAATAAAATAACTCCTGTAGACTCGAGTTTCCTGGGGAGAAGACATGCAGAGGGTCCCAGGGCATGTTACCTTACTAAGAGTAAATGAGGGACCGGCAGGTGGTGTAGTGGTTAAGGGTGCTGGACCCCCACGTGGCTGACTGTGGTTCGAGTCCTGGACCTGGTGGCTTGCTTTTTCACTTTCTCTTTATCTCACTTTCACTCTCTCCCTCTCTTGTCAAATCAAAATAAATAAATAAATAAGTAAATAAAAGAATAAAATAAAGTTAAAGAAAATAATAATAATTATTATTTTTTTAAAAAAAGTGTAAATGAGAGGGGGCCATCAGGTGGCATGGTGGTTAAAGGCACTGGACTTCCCCATGGCCGACTGTGGTTCGAGTCCCAGACCTGGTGGCTTGCTTTCTGCTTTCTTACTTTCCCTTTCTCTCTCTGTCTTTGTTCCTCTCTGGTCAAATTAAAGTAAGTAAATAAATTGAAATAATTTTAAAGAGTGAGAGAAAATCTAACTTGACTGTGCCCCTAGCTGATCACAGAACCTCTCCCCTCCTCTGACAGAACATTAAAATCCAACAAAACATACATCAGGGGCAGTGTTGAAGCTGAGGGACTTGGAAGTCCTCGGGCACCCCTGGGTGGAAGCTGCTCTGGGAGAACAGGACCCAGGCTGTGGCGACCCTGCAGCCCTGAAGGCCTTGCCCACTTGAGACAGTACTGAACAAAAGCAAGTGACCCCTGTGGGCTCTCAGGGTCTGTTTGTGCGTTAAGAGGATGTAGCAGAAGGTGGTTTTTTATTTTGATTTTTTAAGTTTTGCTGTAGGGCACATGTACTTACCCTAGAGAGACAGAGAGAGGAAAAGTGAGAAATCACCCCCCTGAGTGGATGGCCACCTTACAGTCCCTGTCCTCCATTCTCCTCTTTGGATTTTAGGCACACAGATACATGTGCCCAGCATACTTTTCTTTTCTTTCTTTTTTTTTAGAGGTTTTCACTATAGGGCCCGTGTGCTTGCCATAAAGACAGACAGAGACAGAGAGAAAGCGAGAAATCACCCCCCAGGGTGGATGGCCACACCGCAATCCCTTCTCCTCCATTCTCTTCAATCATCCCCCAAGGGGGATGGCCATGCCGCAATCCCTTCTCCTCCGTTCTCCTCTTGGGATCTTGGACACACATACACATATGCCCGGTATGAGTTTAAGCACCACCCGGTCCAGGACTCGAACCATGGTTGACTACGTGGGAGTCCAGCAACAGCCCTTAGGCCAGCCGCTGGTCTCTTTAGAGAGATTTTTGGTATAGTGTGCGTGCATTTGCCACATAGAGACAGAAAGCAAGAAACCACTCCTAGAGGGAATGGTCACGCCACAATCCCTTCTTTTCTATCCTCTCAGGATTTTGGGCACACACACATTCGCACCCAGTGTGAGTTTGAAGCCGCCAGGTCTGAGACTTGAGCCACCATTGACTACATGGGAGTCCAACTACGTAAACATTAAACCATCTGCTGGTCCCACCCAGTGTAGATTTCTAGCCACACCAGGTCTGGGATTTGAACCACACAATCAACTATGTGGGATCCAGTCACCTTGACCACCACACTGCTGGCTTGCCCTGTAGCAGGAGGTTCTTTATGGACAAGGATCTTTGCCCACCAGCAGGCAGGAGTGTGTGTGTCCACACATTTTGAAACCAGAACTCCAGCTGATGTGCTCACCTTAGTATTTGAAAATGTAAGCCTGAAGTTCAAAATTAAAACACCCGGAATCAGCAGATGGCATATTGGTTATATTGCTGGACTCCCATGTAGTCGATTGCAATTTGAGACCCAGACTTGGTGGCTTGAAACTCAAGTCAGCAGGGCTGGTTAAGGTCACTGGACTCCCTCATGGCTGACCAAGGTTCAAGTCCTGGGCCTGGCAGCTTGCTTTCTCACTTTCCTTCTCTCTCCCTCTCTAGTCAAATTAAAGAGCAAATTAATCAATTAATTGAAAAGTGAATTAATTAATTAAAAAGTGGCTAAAAAAAAAAGAACTCAAGCCGGGCATGTGTGCATGCATACCCAAAATCCCCATAGGAGAATGGAGGAGAAGGAATTTTGCAGTGTGACCATCTCCCCTGGGGAGTGATTTCTACCTTTCTGTCTCTCTGGTGAGCACACGCCCTATGTCAAAAATCTCTCTCTAAAAAAAAAACACCCATGATGACATATTTACAGATGACTCTCTGCACTGGGCTGGCTGTTCCAGGGTGCAGTGCCCCGGTGACACCCTTCCCCTCCCCTCCTGACAGAGCCGTACACAGTGCGTGAGGCCCGCATCCATGTGCGCCATGTCCGAGATCTGCTCAAGAGCCTGGACCCGTCAGATGCCTTCAACGGGGTTGACTGCAACTCCTTGTCCTTCCTGAGTGTCTTCACTGATGGCGACCTGGGAGGTGCGGGAGGCCTTGGGGCTAGGGATTGGGCAGAGGGGCAGGGAGCAAGGAGGCCAGGGACTGTTGGGCACAATGAGGGCCAGGCCTTCCCACCTGGAGGGGGCTGACCACCAGCCTCGGGTCCCTCAGACAGCGGGAAGCGGAAGAAGGGCTTGGAGATGGATCCCATCGACTGCACGCCGCCCGAGTACATCCTGCCAGGGAGCCGGGAGCGGCCCTTGTGCCCCCTGCAGCCCCAGAACCGTGACTGGAAGGTGGGCCTCCTGGGGGAGTGAGGAGGAGGGTCCCTGGTGGGTCGGGGCCACCACACTAGGAGACCTGACCCGCTCATGTTTGGCCATTCCTGCAGCCCCTGCAGTGCCTGAAAGTGCTCACTATGAGTGGCTGGAACCCGCCCCCCGGGAACCGCAAGATGCACGGGGACCTCATGTACCTGTTCGTGATCACAGCTGAGGACCGGCAAGTCAGCATCACTGCGTCCACACGGGGCTTTTACCTGAACCAGTGAGTCCCTCGGCCCAGCTGGGGCCCCATGGAATGCTCATCCAATCCGAGTCTGTGGACCGATGCTCAGACACCTGCTTAGTGACCACCCTCCCCCGCAGGTCCACCGCCTATCACTTCAACCCCAAACCTGCCAGCCCCCGCTTCCTCAGCCACTCCCTCGTGGAGCTGCTCAATCAGATCAGCCCGACCTTCAAAAAAAACTTCGCCGTGCTGCAGAAGAAAAGGTAGTGACTTTGTCCCATCTGTCTCTGCCTGTCCCATGACACACGGGGCTGTGGGATGAGCCAGCCAGCTGGGACTCCAGTGCTTTGCCTGAAGACACCATGCCCCCAGGGCCCAAGGGTCCCCTTTAGGGACAGCAGCCTTAGGAAAGGTGCCTTTTGCTGTTTGACTTCTTGGAGCAGGGAGGTGCCAGAGGTGGGCTTCGTAGCTGGGGCCCATGGCAGGGCACTGAGCTTGGCGAGCTGCCCCCTCTCCCTTCCTATGCCTGCCCCAGGGTCCAGCGCCACCCGTTCGAGAGGATCGCCACCCCGTTCCAGGTGTACAGCTGGACAGCACCCCAGGCAGAGCACGCCATGGACTGTGTGCGTGCAGAAGACGCCTACACCTCGCGGCTGGGCTACGAGGAGCACATTCCTGGACAGGTGCCTGCGGCCTAGCCCCTCCCACACTGGGCACCCCTGCCCCACCTGGGTGCCAGACCCGGTTCTGTGTGGCTCCCTGGAGGCCCCACCTGCCTGTCTGTATTTGGTAGTCTGGGGCTGTCAATTGGGGCGCAGTGAAGGGGCTGCTTGGCCAGTCATGGGGCACAGGCTGAACCCCTGTCTCTCCTGGTCCCTCTGCAGACCCGGGACTGGAATGAGGAGCTTCAGACGACAAGGGAGCTGCCCCGCAAAAACCTCCCTGAGCGGCTGCTGCGAGAAAGAGCCATATTCAAGGTGCCCACAGCCTGGGGACTGACTGGCGATCTCGGCCCCACCTGTCATCTACCAGCTGGGACTTTTGTGGACAGGAGGGAAGTGAGGAAAGCCAGCATGGGGCCCTACCCAATCACCACTCTGGAGTCTGGGCAGGGTGCCCTGCAGGTGCTCCAGCCTCCGCCTCTGGCAGGCCACCCCCACGCTTCCTCTTGGCCCCTTTGAGACTTTGAGTCCGAAGGAAGGAGCAGGCACTGCCTGTGGTCTGAGCTGTTGGCAGAGCCCATGCTCTTTCTGCCTCTGCCAAGCACCTTGGGGCCATCCCTGGGCACACATGGCCCTGCCATGACCCCTCTAAGCAGTAGGTTGTTTACATGGCACTCTCAGCTTGGGCTTAAGCGTTATTAGGGACCAGGAGATGGTATAATGGTTACATTGCTGGATTCCCACATGGGTGATTGAGGTTTGAGTCCTGGACCCAGAGGGTTAAACCCAGAGGCTTAAACTCATGCCGGGCATGCCCAAGATCCCGAGAGGAGACGAGGAGAAGGGGTTGTGGCATGGCCATTCCCCATGGGGGGGGTGATTTCTCCCTTTTTCTCTTCTCTGTTTCTGTCTTTCTAGCAAGTGCACATGCCCTATAGCAAAAACCTCCCCCCCTCCCCCCCAAATAAAGTTATTAGGCCTATTTCTAAAGCAGAGAAATGAGGAAAAAAGTAGTTGCGTTAAATAAATGCCACTGGGCATGGTGGCACACACTTATAGTCCCAACTGCTTGGGAGGTTGAGGCAGGAGGACTGAAAACATGATGAAACTCCATGAACAAAAAAATCCTCACCTATATTCCCTTACTTTTAATGCCTAGAGATGGCAGTGGTAAAAATAAGAGCTGTGGGACCAGCAATTAGCGTAATGACTGTGTCGCTGAACTCCCATGTAGTCGACCACGGTTCAAGTCCCAGACCTGGTAGCTTAGACTCAAGCCGGGCGCATGTCCCTGAGTGCCCAAGATCCCGAGAGGAGAATGGAGGAGAAGGGATTGCTGCGTGACCATCCCCCCAGGGGGTGATTTCTCGCTTTCTATCTCTCTGTCTCTGTCTTTCTGGCGAACGCACACGCCCTATAGCAGAAACCTCTCCAAAAAAATAAATAAATAAAAAATAAGCTGTAATTACTTTGTAAAAAGGTGCTTTATACGAATTGTTTCTTGTAATCTTATGAACACCTTGTAAGAGGTCAATGCTTTTTTTTTAATAATTATTTTATTTTTATATAACTTTATTTATTTTAATTTGACCAGAGAAGGAGAGAGAGAGAGAGAGAGAGAGAAAGTGAGAAAGCAATCCACCAGGTCTGGGACACGAACCAGAGTCGGCCATGTGGGAATACAGAGCCCTTAACCACCACACCACCATGCCACTTGCTGGTCACTCTTTTTTTATTTCCGTTTTTTGTTTGTTTGAGAGTTTTTTGCTATACGGTGTAAGCCCTCACCAGAAAGACAGAGAGAGACAGACAAAAAGTGAGAAATCACCCTCCAGGGGGATTGGCCATGCTGCAATCCCTTTTCCTCCATTCTCCCCTCGGGATCTTGGGCAGGCACACACATTTGCCAGGTGTGAGTTTAAGCTAGTAGGTCCGGGACTCGAACTGTGGTCGACTACATTGGAGTTCAGCAATATAGCCATTACGCTAACTGCTGGTCCTCTTTCTTTTTATAGAGAGATTTTTGCTATAGGCGTATGTGCTCACTAGAGACACAGAGAGAGAAAAAGTGAGAAATCACCCCTAAGGGGCTGGTCACACTGCAGTCCCTTCTCTTTAGTTCTCCTCTTAAGATTTGGGGCATGCACACACATGCACCCAGTATGTTTCAAGCCACCAGCTCCAGGACTCGAACCATGGTTGGCCATGTGGGAGTCCAGTGCCTTAACTACTACGTCTCCTCCTGGCTCCAAGGTCAGTACTTTTTAAAAAAGTTTCTTTCCCCAATGAGAGAGACAGCACTTTTAAAAAATATTATTTTATTTAACTTTATTTATTTTATTTATTTATTTTTTTCAGTTTGATCAGATAGAGAGGGAGGGAGGGAGGGCCCCCAGGTCCAGGACTTGAACTGCAGTCGACCATGTGGGACTCCAGTGCCTTTAACCACCACGCCACCTGCTGGTCCCAAGACAGCACTTTTTGATGTTGTGATCCACTCCCAGCCTCCTGCAGCACCGGATCTTGGGCACATGCCCACATGGCCTGGGCATGCTCACAGGGGTCTCCAGACCTGGGCTCTGAGCCTTCCAGTGTGACATTCCTCACATAGTATCACATTTTACCATTGCCCATCCAGCCCTTTTAATGTCTTCATTTTTTTTTTTTTTTAGTTTAAAAAGTCAATACGTGGGCAGATGACATAATGGTTACATTGCTGACTCCCATGTGACTGACTGTGGTTTGAGTCCTGGAACTGGCAAGCTTAAAACTCATGTCAGACATGTGCGTGTGTGCCCAAAATCCCAAGAGGAAAATGGAGAAGAAGGGATTGCGTTGGGGGAGGGGGGGCTTCTTGCTTTCTGTCTCTCTAGCGAGCACACATGCCCTGAAAAAATACACCCCCCCCAAAAAAAAAGTCCATACATAATGTTGACTTACTGACAAGGAAACTAGGTCTGCGAATTACTTGTCCATGTCTGCCTGGCATTTAACTGGGGGAACCCAGCCCTCCCTCACCTTGTTCCTTGCTAGCTCTGCTGTCTCCCCAAGAAGTGCTTAGCTTTTTCGAAGGTCATCTTCTTCCCCTTTTCTAAATGGGAGAATTTGAGGCTAGGGTTCCTCCTCTCCCAAGGCAGGCTTGTTGCCCCCCCATCCCACCTGGGTGAGTTTGGCCACAGTAGGATGTGACCAAAGGTCCTGTGGGTAGGGCTTCTCTCACCCTCTGACCTTGGCCCCATGCAGGTGCACAGCGACTTCACGGCAGCTGCCACACGAGGTGCCATGGCAGTAATCGACGGCAACGTGATGGCCATCAACCCCAGCGAGGAGACCAAGATGCAGATGTTCATCTGGAACAACATCTTCTTCAGCCTGGGCTTTGACGTCCGTGACCACTACAAAGACTTTGGCGGGGACGTGGCTGCCTACGTAGCCCCCACCAATGACCTGAACGGTGTGCGCACGTACAACGCAGTGGACGTGGAGGGGCTGTACACGCTGGGCACGGTGGTGGTGGACTACCGCGGCTACCGGGTGACGGCACAGTCCATCATCCCCGGCATCCTGGAGCGGGACCAGGAGCAGAGTGTCATCTACGGCTCCATCGACTTCGGCAAGACGGTGGTGTCGCACCCCCGGTACCTGGAGCTGCTGGAGCGCACCAGCCGGCCCCTCAAGATCCTGCGGCACCGGGTGCTCAACGACCGCGATGAGGAGGTGGAGCTCTGCTCCTCCGTGGAGTGCAAGGGCATCATCGGCAATGATGGGCGCCACTACATCCTGGACCTGCTGCGCACCTTCCCCCCAGACCTCAACTTCCTGCCCGTGCCCGGCGAGGAGCTGCCCGAGGAGTGCACCCGCGCCGGCTTTCCCCGCACCCACCGGCATAAGCTCTGCTGCCTGCGCCAGGAGCTGGTGGACGCCTTCGTGGAGCACAGGTGAGGGGCCGGCCACCTCACCTGCATTCTGGGGCTGGATGCTTGAAGGGAGAAGGTTCGGGAAGTGCAGAAGGAAGGGCCCCTTGTGGACACACTCGCTAGAGCCCCGTCCCCAGCCCTGCTTACCCTGACGGTGGGCTCCCATGCAAAGTCTGGGGACATGATGCCTGCAGGCGAGGGAGCCAAGCCAGTGACTGCCAGAGCCCCGCCAGTCTCGTGGGTCTGCTGGGTGGCCTGTATGTCAGCACCAGGGCTGGGAGGCGGGGCACGGGGGTGCTGCTGGCCCTTAGTGCTCAGGACTTGGCATGTCAGGTGTCCCGCACCTTGAGTGGCTCTCTTTCTCAAAGTGCCAGTGATGTGCCCGTCGTTGCGGAGAGCCCTCGCCCTCGTCCCCACCCCCACATGCTCCAGCTGTCCTCTTTCCACCTGGGGAGACCTTGGTCTTGGCCATGACCTGCTGCTGCTGGTGGAGCTGCTGGGCCGGCATGAGCATGTGTGCACTGACGCCTCACCCGGGGCAGGAGGTGTCCCCACGCCTCAGGTGTCCAGCTCCAGCACGCTCAGCCCCCGCAGCACAGAGAGCGGTCGGCCCACAGCGTTCTGGTCACCCCTTGCCCACCTTCACCCTGTCCTGCCTGCCGTGTACCAGGTACCTCCTCTTCATGAAGCTGGCTGCCCTGCAGCTGATGCAGCAGAAGGCCAGCAAGCCGGAGAATCCCACCTCACTGGAAAACGGCGGCCCCCCTTCCCCTGAGTCCAAATCTGCAGACTCCCCAGGATCCGAGGCAGGAAGTGAGGAGGAGGGCGGCAGTGCTAGCGGCCTGGCCAAGGTGAAGGAACTGGCGGAAACCATCGCCTCAGACGACGGCACAGGTGGGGATGCTGCGGGTGCCGGGACCAGTGCCCAAGCCTGCCCTGGTGCCTGGCCCTCACCAGAGGGACTCATGATCCAGCCCCCGAGAGGCAGGCAGACATCTCTGGGGGGTGAGGCCCAGGGCAGCCCAGCCCCTCCAGTGATGGAGTGGGGCCGCCTCCTATTGGGCCGTGTCTCCACAGCAGACCCTCGGAGCCGGGAGGTGATCCGTAATGCGTGCAAGGCAGTCGGCTCCATCAGCAGCACGGCCTTCGACATTCGCTTCAACCCAGACATCTTCTCGCCAGGCAAGGGGGGCTGGCCAGAGCAGGGCCCTGTAAGGGGAGGGAAGGTACCATGCTGGTGCTGGTGGCTGCTGGCCTTGCCAGCCCTGCTCCTCATGTGTCTCGCCCCCGCTCCCTTGACCCCAACTCCTACTGCCTGCTCAGGCCTCTGCTCTCCCTCCCACAGGAGTTCGCTTCCCTGAATCCTGCCAAGATGAGGTTCGGGACCAGAGGCAGCTGCTGAAAGATGCAGCTGCCTTCCTGCTGTCTTGCCAGATCCCCGGCTTGGTGAGGGAGGGGCTCTGAGGGTGGACAGGGGCTGCCTGGGAGGGGGTACTAGTAGCAGCCCGGGGCTTGGTCCCTCTCTGACTCTGGGAGCTGTGAAACTGTCATGGGAGTCCTGTTTACACACGGGGACCCTGCCCTAGAGTTGAGGGAGGTGGCAGGCACAGGCTCTGACCACTGAATCCAGCTTGCAGACTGATGGCTGGAGATCTGGTCCTCCCTGAGTGGCGGGAGGGCTGGGGGCAGTCCCACCGTCACCCCCACGGGCTTTGTGTCTGGGCCCGTGGACAACAGGTGTTCACTCTCTGCTGATGAAGTCTCAGGTTGACATGCCCAGGCTCAGGACATGGGGTGGGTGGTAAGACTGTGACCCCACCCAAGTGGCCAGAGGAGCCTGTGCCACGGGTTGGGCCCTCTGCCCTGCCGCTTCTGCTTCCTGTGCTCGGGTGGAAGGACCAGAACAGTCCTTACTCCTCCCACGTTACTTTGTCTCTCGCCTGGGAACAAGTCTTGCCCGCTACACTGGGAAGACGGGGCAGGGGGTGGGGTGGGGTGGAGGCAGAGGAGGGCTGGGAAGCCTGACCCACTGCAGCCCGCAGGTGAAGGACTGCACGGACCACGCGGTGCTGCCCATGGACGGGGCCACGCTGGCTGAGGTGATGCGCCAGCGCGGCATCAACATGCGCTACCTGGGCAAGGTGCTGGACCTGGTGCTCCGGAGCCCGGCCCGCGACCAGCTGGACCACATCTATGTGAGTGCTACTCAGGGTGCGCCTGGGATGGGGACTGGGTGCAGGCTGGGGCCTGAGCAAGACTCTTTGTCTCTTCAGAAAATAGGCATCGGAGAACTCATCACCCGCTCGGCCAAGCACATCTTCAAGACATACTTACAGGTACCGCACCTGCCCTGCAGCCAGGCCGGAGCCTCTCTGGGTGCTTTTGAGGCCTGAGGATTTTGCGATTTTGATCAAAACCTCTGTCACAGGGAGTCGAGCTCTCAGGTCTTTCAGCTGCCATCAGCCATTTCCTGAACTGCTTCCTGAGCTCCTACCCCAACCCTGTGGCCCACCTGCCCGCTGACGAGCTGGTCTCCAAGAAGAGGAATAAGAGGAGGAAAAACCGGCCCCCAGGGGCTCCGGACAACACAGCTTGGGCCGTCATGACCCCCCAGGAGCTCTGGAAGAACATCTGCCAGGAGGCCAAAAACTACTTCGACTTCACGCTGGAGTGGTGCGTGAGCCGGACCGGACCGCGGGGGGAGGTTGGGGGTAGGTAGGCTGCTGGATTCCCGGAGGGTACTGAGGGCCTGTGGTCCTGGGCGTGGGCTGAGGAAGAAGCTGTGAAGGAAGCTTTTCTGGGAAGAAGGACTGGGAGCTGTCAGCTCTGAGCACAGGAGCATGCATGTGGCTGGAAGGGCCCCTGGGTTGGGTGGAGATGGAGCTGCTGAGTAGGGTGCAGACTCAGCCACTCTGCTCTCCTCCCCTCCCCAGTGAGAGCGTGGACCAAGCTGTGGAGACCTATGGCCTGCAGAAGATCACACTGCTGCGGGAGATCTCCCTGAAAACCGGTATCCAGGTGGGCACGGCTCGTAGTCCCTGAGGTCCCCGGCCCAGCAGGTTCCCACCTCCTATCAGGGCACCAGGGCTCAGCAGGGAGGTCTCTAGGTGCATGGCGGTGGGTCAGCAGGTGCTGTTCGTTGGAGCCTGGGCCTCAGGCTCCTGTGGGCTTTGGGTTCTGTCCCCAGATCC